TGCAACATTTCCGGTTTCACATTATCAATTTCAACATTCTGCACCCCCATCGAAATGTTAAAATTGTTATCAGACACACATAATTCTTTTTCTTTAGCCGAGGTGCTACCAAGCGTACCCTTTTGATGCTTTTCATCTTGCGACGAAAGTGGATTTTCGGACATTATTTTTTTTTACAAAATTATATGAAATCAACTAATCAACTAAAAGGCAGGTATTTTTTCGGCCATTAAATATATTTTCGAGGGAATTTTTTTTATTCAGCCAAAATGGAAAATAAATGAGTATTGCTAAATATCACCACTAGACAAAATTCATAATTCCTTGATAAACCCTAACTATGCAATTTCATAAATAAAAAGGCACGCGCACTAATTTTTCTTTTTTTAAAAATACAAATTAAGGATAAATTTGAACAAATTAGTTTATATAATGTATAATGATTGCTACGTTTGTGGTAAGTGAAAATCTTTCGCAGCAACTAATTAACACGCGACAATCACAATAAGCACAGAAAATTTTATGCTATAGTTGGAAAGCGGTTGTGATAAATAGATATAACGTATATAATATGTATTTATTTGGGCGTACATTCAATAACATAATAACAAAGTTATAAAGTGAATGTTTTTTCGAAAAAAAAAAGGGTTTACAGTCAAAGTTGAGTGTAATTTATTTTATAGAAAGATAAAGTTGAAACTTTTAACAGTATATCACATATAAATTATATAAAGAGACGACGCGTGTATAATAAAACACATTAATACGATTATTGTCACTATTAGTTTATTGGTAATCTTCACAAATTAAATACTTTTTGATGATAAAAAATAAAGATTAAATAAAAAAAATATAATCATTCTATCAATGGAATACAACTCAAATTATATGTGAATATAAAGATAAGTTCAAATCAAAACATACTAAAATAAATAAAAATATTAAATTAGATCTTTGAATTTTAAATAATACATGAAAGTAACAGGTATCAATTTCCACATTACGACATCGAAATCTTGCATCATCACAATAAATACGATGTAAGAAAAGTATAACCATGTAAATAAGGTAGTAAATGACTGAATCCACAAGTAAGACATTCAGCAAATGATATAAGATCTCCAACATAATTAAAATGATGAGATATTCCTATAAATATATCAAGAGTGTAAATTCAAATTGAATATATTATTAAATATATTAAATATTAAGTCGTGAATATTAATAATTTACTCCAATATCCACTAATCAGTAGAATACTTGAATGTCCTTTCCCATCACAAATGAATTGAGCAAGTTTTCCCAAATCTTGGATTTACCATCAGTTCGGAATATATAATATCCCAATAAACTGGTAGTTAATACCAACAAAAAGTAATTGATTGAATTAACATGCGTTACAATTAGAATACATAGAATCTGTGTTAATTCTCAATTGCAGTAAGATGATCTATTGTTATTCAATGTGGATGTATAGCTATCATACATTTTACAATAATAATTTCTAATATTTCAATACTTAGACAGCATAAATTAATAGTCCTGTATATATTAAGTATTGTTTATCAATTTCAATTTTAACTTAACATGTCATTAAAACTATTATTATGAAAAATTAGAATTGATATAATTATTTGAACCAATTATAGATGCAATTAAAATTTCAGGAATTGAATCAAAGGCTTTTTACTTTTTGATGACATGTATATTCTAACCAAAGTCAAAGCACTACCTAGCATTGCTATTGCCTTGCTGATTTCTTGAAAAACAGTGATAAATACAATAGCTAAGTTAGATAATTTCATATTAAAAATTATAGGTTACACAAATTCATACAACGGTTAATTCTAGTATATATAAAATATACCTTTGTCTGTTAATTAAAGTTTTTTGGTACTAAACCAAATAAAAAACAACAAAAAATTGAATAAAACAACTATGTGAGAATAGAAGAAATAAAATAAGTTATTGCAAGGTTGGAAGGTAACAATTGGGTTGACAGTTATTTATTTGTCTGCAGAAATTTCCTTTTTTTTTTACTTTACTCACTATTTGTGAAACTAGAATGATTTTTACTAAGATATTTCTATGATAGATAGAACGGCCTTGTTCTTGGCTATAAAATGACACGTTTCACCCCTGTAGCATCAATATTCGCAGGGTTATCATAATTTTAAAAAGTCTGAAAAAATGAAAATTTCAAGAAATTTTTTCGTGCGGAGAGTACAAAGTGATCAACACACTTTTTATTAACTGTATTAGCTACGCGTGACGTCTTCCACTTATTAATTTGCGACACGCTTTTTATAATTTTATTGATTTCAAACACACGTCGGATCAGTAGTTGATTCCAATTTCAGAACATATCGCAAGAAATACGGTTTCTTTGTGAATACAAGGATTTCATTCAAATATGTTAATCATTTCGTAGTTAATATTTCGGATGTTTTCACCAATAAAAGAGCATATATCCATGCCAGAATAATCACTTTATCACTTTAATGAATTGTGTTTATCAAAATGTCATGACGAAGAAACGCCTAGCATGAATGTGATGGCGAGTATCACCTTTACTAATGTTGTGGAATATTTGTAATCTAGATCCATTCATTTGAAATAAAATTTTTCGGTGGGATAGGAATAACGATTGGGTGTCTACAGAAAAGACTTAGTCATATGGCTGTATTCATGTACATATATTGTACTCCATACAAAAAAAAATAACAAAATTTTTGTTCACATCAGAACTTCTAATTTTTAATGTTCTTGCGTAATGTTGTACGTGAAGTGTGCTCAAAAATAATAGAAACATTGATTAGTGAATTGCAAGGCACTTGAAATTTTAACTTATTTTAATCCCTAATTCCTTGAGTCAATCTGTGATTACACGATTTTGAAAAGTGTTATTATAATAAGGGAATATAAAAATTAAAGTATCTGAATCATTATATCTATCTAGACATTGCGAGATAACATTTAAACATTAATGAATACTGGACATAATTCATAAAATTCGTGATATTATCCGCCACCACCTCCACCTCCACATCCACCTCCTCCACCTCCACATCCACCTCCACCTCCACATCCACCTCCACATCCACCTCCACCTCCTCCATCACCGCCTCCAAATCCGCCACCACAGCTAGTCCCACATCCACTAACATCACCACCACAGCTTCCAAAATTTACAATATCAAGAATTGGAAAGACTAATAAAAAAAGATTAATTTAGTTTCAAATGGTTCAATTTTTCCATAAAAGTAAACAGACTAAAGTAAATAATTTGCTTACATCCAAATGAATTGTATTTTAATGATTTGTGTTTTAATGAATC